ACAAAGGAGTATTTTCCTTTCCTTACTTCAGTGTCCCATCAAGGTAACAAGACAGGAAAATAAGGGTTTATAAGGCAAAGGCATATACTTCAGATCACGAAAACATTCTGGATGCCTTTTCATTTAGTGCTAACTTTCCAAAATTTCTAAAATTGCTGATGTTTGAGAAGTTTGATGTTCTTGCCTGTGGCAGGGACACAGCTGAATGGTGTTGTTTAGGAGGAAGCAAAGGGTGTTTTTGTCAGAAACTGCTGAGTTTTTGTAGAACAATCAACCCTGCTCAGATGGCACATCTGCTTTTTTTCAGAGTGGCAGAAGTGGTGTCATAACAGCAGCATTTTGTCCCCAGAGATGCTCAGAACAGAAAAGCCCCAAAGCTGGTCGATGTCCCCATCTAGAGGGCATAAGCAAGTCTGCTTGGCACAACCAGCTTGTCCCACCACAAAAGACCCTCTCACGTAGCCAATGGAGGAAGCCACTGGAGTGGAGCAACAGCAAGGGTCAGAGCTGCTGAATTTCCAGGAGGAGTTCTATGGAAATGTGCAGCAATATGTGAAACCAGTGAATTTTAGCCACCTGTTTGTGAGGACTTGCCACGCTGGTTTGCAGCACTGAGAGGGAGGTCTGGCTTGCCCTGGCTCTGGAGGAACAGACTGTGATGGGAGACTCATCATGAGCTTTGATATAAAATAGGAAAGAAAAGTCCTCACTCTTTATTGCTGTTCCTATTTCAGAAGCCTCTTTCTCTCTAATAAAGCTTTTGCATCAGGATGTTAGCTTGGATTTACTGGCTAGTTTCCAAGCTAGGCAGTTATACCATCTACCTCTGCAAATTTTCCATGCCATTTCAGAGGGCTACAGAATGATTTTTCATTTCATGTTCAAATCTGTTTTAAATAGTTACTTCACACACTTGAGCAATTCCTTTATTTCACACCCAGCGGTGAGTGAAAGGATATTCTGTAGCCTGTACTTGGATCCACCTCAGCGGAAACTATTACCATTGCTGCTGGGGTTGCAGTGTTGAATGAACACGTGCCAAAGGGTGTGAGCCAGCAAAGCTGGAAAATACTTCATTTGTCAAACACAGTGCATGGCTTATAGTGTCTTACTCAATATACCAGCAGCTCCTGGCAGAAGTCTATAGCAGCTCCAAGATTTTATTAGTAATAAAGGTTTAGTTCTTGAAAAGATGACTTGCATTTATACTAAGCATAAGAAATGAGGTATGTCTTCACTGTAAATAAGTCATCGAAACATACATTTTAGTCTCTACTACAGTGGCCAGGTCCTACTCCAGATGCCTGCATTTTCCTTACACCTAGAGAGGAGAGACTCCATCTCAGCTACTTGAGTTCCCTCATTTCATCAAGTAAACTTTTTTCTTCATTTATATTCCAGTTGTTGGAATTCATTCGCCACCCTCTGCCCAAAACTCTATTTATCCTTTGCCTCCCACTTTTCAGAACTGTCATGGTTATCAGCTCAGCAATGTGTAATCTAGTTTCTTGAGATCTGATGTCATCTTGCTTGGCATATGTTACACCCTCAAATAAGCTGTTGTGCTGAATAATGTGCCATATGTGTATTTCTAAGGTACCCTGGCATTGCAAAGGCTTTGATTCTCTGTTGCTTGAACCAGGATTTTGTCCTTGCCATGCAGAGCTTCTGAATCTGGTGCTACCAGCTAAAATAAAATCCTCAGTTCACTCTTCCTTCTATGCAACATACTCCTCTGCCTACCAAGCACTGAAAATATGTTCTGGGAAAAGCCTGCTTTGATGATCTTTTGAAGATTCAGACTTCTGATCCTTTCTAGAAGTTGTGCTTATATACAGCTGGTTGCTCTGTAGCACCTGACATGCTTCCTCAGGTGAAGTTTTTGCTTACATGTGGGTTCTGAGCATATAAGATACATTGGAAAGCGAGGTGGAAAAAATATGCTGCACTAAATTTGAGTCTTTTGCTGAAGATTCATTGAAGGATTAATCCTCAAAATGATCCTCATCTAATAGGATGTTGGGTTCAGATGGGATGTTAGGAGAAACCTCCTCTCCTGGAGGGCAGTGCAGTATCCAGAGAGGATGCTGCCTCCTCCTTGGCAGTGTTTCTGACTCGGCAGGATGCAGCCCTGCCTGACCCAGTCTGCTATGCATGACACTTCGGAACAGCACAAAGATAGGGACACCAGGTATTTACTGTCTGTGGGACATCAGCCCATAACCTGTGAAGGTCAAAAAACCCTCATGTTCCCTCCCGTGCTGTGCAGGGCTGCAAGGTGCCACACAAGTGCCCAGGCAGGAGGAGGCTTTCATTTGTAAATGAAAAAATTCTCTAAGAGATCCCACTCAGCACAGCTTGGAGGAACAAGATAATGAGTGCACTCAACTCCTTACTCATGAATAGGAGCTCTAATAAGTCACCTTCACTTTTCGGCTTTAATGCTTTTTGCATGCATGTTACCAGAGTCATGTGTTTAACTGATTTAAATGTAAAGACTCTGAAATCATTACAGGGAGCTGGCGTCTGATCAACATAGTGGTTTCTGCTTTATTGTTAGCAAAACATTCTGCTTTTTCTGAATCCTGTTTGTACCCTGGGAAAACACTGGGAACAGATGGTTTTCTACTCAAGTCGCACAAGCAGTTCAGGCAGGAGTAGGCACCCTGTGAGCTGCAAGTGTTTGCAGAGGTGAAGGATAATCAGTTCCTATAGTCCCTGCTAATTGCATTAATGAAGTTGGTGGTGAGTATGGGGAAAGTGCCTAAGGAAATAGTCTTTTGAACATATTACATTATTCTACACAGTGTTTAAGAGTACAGTTAAAGAGCTGACATAGATGGAAGAGTCCCATGTCCAGAGCAGAGACAACCATTTCCATTATAGATTATTTACCAGTCCTGGTGTGCAGAAAAATTTCACTATCAAGAACTGAATGCCCAAAAAGGAGACAGAGGAGTCCTAAAACTTTATTCAAATAAAGGGAGAGTCCACCGGGCATATCCCTGTGGGGTCTCTCAAATTGCTGGGGGACGCAGCCCCCCTTTTATCCTAATTTCCCGACCGAGGGACGCCCTCTCCTTTTCCCCATTGGCCAAGGTACTCAGAAGTTACAGCCTTCCCGGCCCGCCTACACCGAACTCCGGCCTCCCGCCATCTGTTCTCACCTGAGCTCACCAACTCCTTTGTCCCCCTTGCTGAAGAATGTGGGGCAATTGCCCTATTTCCCTCCTTTGTAAAGGCCCCATCTCCTTGCAGATGGCTCTTTTTGTCCCACTC